AGAGAGAGGGAAACGCAGACTCTGAAACAGGCTCCAGGCTCTGAGCTGGCAGTCAGCACAGAGCCCGACGCGGGGCTCGAACCCACGAACCGCGAGATCATGACCTAAGCGAAAGTTGGACACTTAACTGACTAAGCCACCCAGGCGACCCCCGGATTGATTTTAAACGAGAGCTAGAAATGGGGTTAAAGAGGTGGGTAAAAATGTGCATTTACGAAAATGGTAAAGCAGCAAGTTGCTAGGGCCCACAGACTGGTAATGATGCCACACCTTTAAAACGCAGCTTTTATGCTAATGTCACCTTGCTTTACTTGGTCTAGTCCAATCTGTGTGGTAAGGGAGGATCTGACTACATTATGGTACATGGTGCCATGATCCCATCCATCTATCCCCACGTCATTTTAAAGTGCACACTGATCGTGAGCTTTGTGGCGGGCATTGAAATTCATCATGACTTTGAGGGTGAATTGCTCATCCGTTTACAGTCGGTCTTGACAATGGCTTGAGCACATGGAGGGCACCCTTGGCTTTCCCCGCTGTTTGTCTGTTGGCCTTGTTTGTGCCCTCCTGAGGCTCTTTCTGAACTGCTTTTGCCTTTTTAGGTGATGTTGTTCTTTTGGAAGTAGGGGTAACATCCTCCCGCAGGACTAGCGTTTCGGACAGCCATACTCTTGTTTCTCTTGTTTCCTTTTTTTTTTTAGCAGCTTTAGCAGTATAGTTTATTTATCATAAAGTTCCCCATTTTATAGTGTAAAGTAGCTTTTATTAAAAAAACCAAATTTACAGAGTTGTATAACCGGCCCTCCAGTCTGGCTTTAGAGGATTTCTATCATCCAGGATGTTATGTTGAAAATATGGAAGGTGGTGTTTGTATACTGGGCAAGAGTGAGTTCAAATAGGAGAACCAAGAGGATGTTGATGATTTCAAATCTGCCAAATGCACGGCATTAACACGTTAGGCTTCTTCGTTAGTGACACCAGCCTTGATTGTAAATCACAACTTCTGAAAACGACTGGATGATTGATAATGTAGAAGCCAGAAATCTGTGCGTTTCCTGTTTTATAAAAGATCCTGAATTTTCCTAATCTCTCAGAGAGAATCACGGATTAAGACTCATGGCTCACGTGGAACAATCCAGAGAAGATTTGCATAGTGTCTGTGCAAGGATATGTGCAGATTTGTGAAGCATTCCAGATTCTTAAAACCTAATAATAATAAACAACACACTCTAATACCCAGACAGAAGAGGTCAATTAGCGTGTTAGAGTAACAGGTGTTTGGATTTCATATCGTGCTTAGGGTTGACTTCTTCTCTCCCCCCCACCCCCCCAGTCCCATGGCTAAGTTTATTGTATTTGTTCTCTTTAAAATTAAAACCTTTAAACACCAGGCCCAAGTGGCAGCTTGGGTCCCTCTGTTCATGAAGACTGAAAAGTCTCAGCCTGGCTTTGTGATATTGGGGCACAGGGTGTGGAGTGGAGGGTTGAGGATATGGTGCCAGAGCAAGGGGCCAAAAGTAATGGACTGAAGAGGGAGGGGGCACAGCCATGAGCCACAGTCCCCTGAGTTACAGTTCACATTTTAAGAAGGCTCAAGCTGGAGGCCAAGGGCAAGGCTCAGTGAAGTCCCGAGGTCACCAGTGGTTTCCCTAGGGAAGGAAGCAAAGGCCCAGATGCCCTGAGACCAGTTAAGGCCTCTGTCCCATAGCCTGGCCAGCATACCTCCACCTCATCACTTTGAACTCGGTCTCGCTCAGGTAAAGGGTCCCTACTACAGCGGTGCCAGGGCTTTCCTGCACCTCCTGGCCAGGAGGACAGGGGTGCCATCTAGAGAGTCAGAGGATGAAGGCAATTCTGGAAAGTTCAGTCCTGCAGCCATTGGAGGAAAAGAGCTGCTTCTCCTCCGGGAAAGAGATGATGCTGTCCAGCACAACCTGTACAACCTCTTCCCTGGGCCCTAGGCCCAGCTCGTTGAGCACACAGTGCCTCACGTGGTGCTGCTGCAGCGGTAGGAAGGGCACCGGGACATCTGGGAGATGCTCTTCCATGATGCCTGAGCGCCAGAAGCCACGCGGGGTGGGGGTGGAGTGGGGCCGGTAGTGGTCCTGCACGGCCGGGGTGATAGCCAGTCCGGCTATGGAATGTGGATCTCCTTACGGTCCCGGTGGCTGTGCCATCTGCCACCTGGTCGGTCTAATCGCTGCCAGTGTTGCTGATGAAGATGAACATAGCTTTGGGCTAGTTGGTCCTGAACACGATGCAAGAGGAGCCCAGGAGAGGTTGTGGGACCACCATCAGGCCTGGGGCCAGCTTGACCATCTCGTCAAAGAGGAAGAGGGAGCAGGTGCAGGCAGCGAGGTTCCCCTGGACCCAGAGCTTAAGATCCTTCTTGTAGCACTCCATGTGACCAGGATGGGGGAAGTGGGTGATGGGAAAGGGTGATGTACACGACATGGCTGCCGAGGCTACCCCTGCGCCAGCAGGGAGCTGACCTGGGACTTGCCATTGCCCGGCCAGCTGTGCAGGGAGAGGACCAGGGGCTGGGTGGGGTTGGGTCCTGCAAGAAGGCATTCAGTGCCTTCGCCACCAGCGCCCTGGCCAAGTGCTGGCCGGCCAGGTGCTGGGCCAGTCACACTCCAGACCCTGGAAGTAGGGCTGGAAGTCACATTTGCAGAAAGTGCTGAAGTGGCAATGCAGCGAAGTCAGGTCCCAGTCGGTCAGGTGACCGCAGTCGAGACCAGTCCCAGCAGCCTGAGGAGCGAGCCCCAGGGCCAGCAGCTATGCATCACAGCCGCCAGGCGGGTGACACCCAGGGTAGATTTCTGATTGGAAGAAAACATTGGCAACTCCTTGACGTGACTTCAGGCTCATAGAATCTTTTTGTGCTGTAGTGGGTAATTCAGTTGATCACTTTGGAAATCTATCTCTGAATCCTATGAATAACATCTTTCTGTAAATTAGGGTTCATCAAATAATTGTGAAAAAATATTTAGGCTTGAACTCATTATGTTAATGGCCTAGGGGAGATGATACATGCGACTAATGTGTTATACGTTCATATGTATATTTCTGATGTGGAAGCTGAGTGTGTAAAAAAAATCATTTATAAAAATGGGTTTGATTGTTGCTGGTTATGGACTGATCAACATTTTAGCAATTACACTGAAGACTATCCCTGCTTCGGCACCTCAATGTAATTGTCAGCTGGGTTTGTAAGGGGAGCATGCACATCAGTGTTAGGACCCATTGATCAGGAACTCTGGTCTGTCTCTGCTGCTGGCAGTAGAAAGGTCTGACAGTACAAGGGCAAAAGTCGAACTGTATTGTAAAGAAATTCATATTTAATTACAGAGTTGGTTTATACTCTGTAGTGTGTATTTTCCTAAGAGCGCTTTCCTGTTACCTGCATTAACAGTTTGCCGTTGATAATAGTTCATTTTCATGTCCCTTAATTTCTAAAAGGATAAGATTTCTCATCTTAGTTATGTGTCTGACCCAACTGTAAAGGGGTAAGAAAACTTTTTGCATATTGCTCTTGAACAAAATGGCATTTTGGTTGGATCGTGGTAGTAAGTTTTTAACTGTGAATTATTGTTTTGATGAATAGCTCTGAAGCTCCTCTCTTCTACTGAGGGTCAGAAAATCCCAAAGTGCTCCTTGGTGCTGGTGATGCCCCTTCTGCAGATCCTGTCGTCCACGGCCTTGGAAGACTGTATGTCCATGGATGAAGAAGGCCCCTCTAGGCAGCACTTGGCCCTAAACCTATTGGAAATAGTGCAGCAGGAATCCTACAGAGATGACCATCAAAAGGTAATGCGTTCAGCCTTGTTTTGCTTCAGGAAAGAGGTAATGTGGGACTTAGGTTTGTGCAGATAATCTCATATCCTGATGAAGTATCTGTTTGGGTTTAAACGCCTGACATGTTTCCATTCTGTCAGACAGCAGCATAGCTATTAGTATATTCCTCTGGACTGCGAGAGGGGAGGGTGAAATAAATTTTGTGTAGCTATTAGTATATTCTTTGGGACTGTGAATGGAGAGGGTGAAATAAATTTTGGAAATGCCGTATAATTTTTTTCTTCGAGTTCCCTGTCTCCATTAGGCGTGAAAGGTCCTGAGCAATCAGAAAAGGAACTAGTTCTATTTAACGTAGTGCTTCTCCAACACATTTGAGCACGGAAGCCTTCTTTCTTATACTGTAGGAAGGGCAGCATATTGCTACATCTGGGACGATCCAAGGCTGGAAATCTCCTTAAATGCGTGGAAGCTCTGGCATCTGTAAGACATAGGACTTCATTCTTTAATATGTAGCACCTTCTGCCCTTTTCCTTGGCTTAATGGCTCCTGCTGTCTCCCGTGTGTGCCCCCACTCTGCTGCCTTCTCTTGGAAGACTGCGGGTCTTTCCCACCTCGCCCGTGTTCCTGCCTGCCAGGCCTACCCCTTTCTGCTCCATCAACCTCACCATTTGTTATGATAATGTAAAGGTATTGCCAACATCTGGTTAGTGGCTGGGTTCTGGGCCTACATTTGTTAGACTTTTTCTCTTTTGGTATTTGAGCTTTGCCTTCAGGAAAAAGTAGGATTATTTCCCAACTACCAATTTCATGGGGATCGAATGAGGATGAAAGAAGTAAAACAGGTGAAACATCTTCTGTCTCCGTGGAGAGTGACATTATATAAATGCAGGCGAGAGTCATGGTTGTTTCATCTGCAAAAGCAAGGACACCTGGAATCGTGTATTGTTAAATGTTCTAGCAGCAAAAATCCAGGCACTGTAATTCCTTGCTTGAGGGCACAGCGAAAACTAGCCTGTAGGCAAATTGACCCTATACTGTAGCATCCGAATTCCTAATTGTTTGTCCAAAACTTTAAAACTTGACGTAGGTAATTGACTCGCAACAAGAGAAGAAAGTTCTTGGGTGCCAGGTGGCTCAGTGGGTTAAATGTCCGATTTTAGCTCAGGTCATGATCTCGCCATTTGTGAGTCCATGCCCCACATGGGGTTTGCTGCTGTCAGTGCAGAGCCCACTTTGAATCCTCTGCCCTCCTACCCCTGTGCCCCTCCCCCACCTGTATTCGCACTCTCTCTCTCTCAAAAATAAACATTAACTACTAAAAAAAAAAAAAAAAAAAAAGAGGGAAGGAAGTTCTCGTACTTGCTCTAATATGAGTGCAGAATGTGGCCTGGGTTTTCTTTCTTCTTCTTTTTTTTTTTTAATTATTTTTTTTAAATGTTTTTATTTTTTTTTGTTGTTGTTGCTGATGGTTAGATCATATATGTAATTTTTTTAATGTTTGTTTATTTTTGAGAGAGGGACAGAGTGCGAGTAGGGGAGGGGCAGAGAGAGACGGAGACATAGAATCTGAAGCAGGCTCCAGGCTCTGAACTGTCAGCATAGAGCCCGACACAGGGCTTGAACTCACGAGTGGTGAGATCATGACCTGAGCCCAAGTCCATTGCTTAACCCTGAGCCACGCAGGCGCCCTGCCCAGCTTTTCTGAAAGCCTTTTTACATTCATTCCTGGCTGGCTTGTATAGAACAATGATTTCATTCTGGATGGGGGCAAGGCAGGATGTACTTACGTTTAAGAGTTCTGTGCTTTTAGCTCACAAGTGATATTTATTGAGAATCACTCTGACTCGAATACACGGGTGCTCAGTTGACTGTTCGCTTAGGTGTGTGGGAATCTTATTCATTAACGCTAATAGCTGGACTCTGTCTTCAGCAGCTGGTGAAGAGGGAGGAGGAAGGAATACCATTAGGGCTATAAACATTCTCCTGATGATAATGTGCTGCTTTGTGGATGCTTAGCGTGGAGTTACGATCACCATTTTTAAAAACGGAAGCTGCGGTTTACTGTTGGCTTTTCTTCTGCACCTGTCCAGGCCTTTATATTCCAAACATACCTATAAATTTAACAGGATGCAAAGTCTCTAAGTCTCTCCCCGCATCTTTGCTTTTGCACATAATGCTCTTTTGTCTCCTTTGCCTGACCTACTCATTCTTCAAGACCCGGCCGAACATTCTCAGCCTCCTGGAGTCTGAATTCATTACCGTCTCCTTTGCGTTCCCCAGCACTTAGAACATTACTCAGTTGTGCTGTGTCTTAATTTGGGGGGCAACGTATTTGTATCTTCAGCTCTGCTGTGAGCTTTTCAAGGGAAAGAATCTTGGCCCTTTTTAGTCTTTATGTTCTAAGCACATTAAAGTTGACATTGCAACAGTTGTTGAACTTTTTGTATTTTTCCACATGTGTTTTCTGCTTTATCTTTTCCAGCTGATTGTAGATGAGAGCCTTCAAAAATGCTTTAGCCAGTTGTTAATTGAATACTCTATTTTCTACTACTTAAATAAGCTAGCATGTTGCCTATTGATGTTTGTATCCTCCATACCTAACACAGTGTTTACCACATGATCGACATTCAGTAAATTTCTATTCAGTGAGGAATGTGTGCTTCTGATAAGGAAACAGAAGATCATTTTACTATCTCTATATATTATCTAAAGACCTGGGGCTCCTAGGTGGCTTAGTCAGTTGAGCATTTGGCTCTTGATTTCAGGTCAGGGCATGATCCCAGGCTTGTGGGATTGAACTCTGTGTCGAGCCTGGAGTCTGCTTAAGATTCTCTCTCCCTCTGCCCCTCCACTACTTGCACCTGCATGCACACACACACACTCTCTTTCTCTCTCAAAAAACACCTTTGAATAAAACCACAGATCTTGTTTTTTAAATTACTTTTTGATGGGTGTCTCTGACTTAGCATATATGATTTAGAACTGGAGCAGTTCTTCAAAAGCCTAGTTCTTCTGATGAATGAAAACAAAGGTACATATCCTATGCCATGTAACTCTGCATTAACCTATCTATTTCTGAAATGCTGATAACCATGAAATTAAACACATTTTAACTTCCAATTTTTAAGAATTAAAAAATGTAAGGTATCAGAACAGCCACTCATCTTATTTTTAAAGATTAACATAATCTAATAACCTTTCACTATTTTTTAATTGTGTATGCAAAACAGGATCCTTTCTATTAGGGTATTAAATGTGATATTTAAAACTGCCAGTTTGTGTTTTTCTGGGTTAAAAAAATATCAGACACTAGTTATAAATTCTAACATCCTTAAAATCTTTTTTTTTTAATTTTTAATATTTGTTTATTTTGGGGAGAGAGAGAGAGAGAGAGAGAGTGAGCAAGCAGGAGAAGGGCAGAGAGAAAGGAAGACACAGATTCCAAAGCAAGCTCCAGGCTCTGAGCCTGATGTGGGGCTTGAACCAACGAACCGTGAGGTCATGACCTGGGCAAAAGTTGGACGCTTAACCAACTGAGCCACCCAGGTGCCCCTTAAAATCTTTTTAAGTTTATTTATTTATTTTGACAGAACAAGTGGGTCAGAGACAGAGAAAGATGGAGAGAGAGAGAGAGAGAGAGACTCCCAGTTTCCACATCATCAGTGCAGAGCCCTATGAGGGGCTTGAACCCACAAACTGCGTGACCGCGACCTGAGCCAAAGTCGGACTCTTAACCAACTGAGCCACCCAGGCACCTCTAACATGCTTAAAATCTTACTGCCCTGACCCCCAGAGAATGGCGGGGAGAAAGCACCAGTGTATGAGTCTGGGGCTAGGCAGGAAAGAGTGAACCATGCTGGTAATTTGAACAAAGAAAAACTTCCTACAAAGAATTATTAATTCATAAAGGAGGCTCAAAGGAATATTGCATTATTAAGTGTAAGGAGCAGCTACCACTACTAGGACTGGGGTGAGTCAACCAGGAAGGAACTGAGAGCATCTCCCCACTCAAGACTGCGATCAGGCCTTGACGCAAACAGTGTGGCTCTGGCCTGCTGGACGGTGGAGTTCGCTTGGGTGCCTCATGCTGGAGCTGGTCTGTAGGAAGCCACTCCCTGTGGGCCATGCTCCTCCATGGTAGGCAAAATCCCTGAATAAGACTGCACTGCATGAACATGCACCACATTTTACTTTTCCTCTCATCTGTTGATGAACATTTGGGTTGTCACTTTTTGGCTAGTATGAACAGCGCTGTTATGAACATTCCTATACGTGTTTTTATGTGGCCTTGTTTTCATGTCTCGTGGGTTAGATCCGTAGGAGCGGAAGTGTTAAATCATACGATAACTCTACTGACTGTTGGAGGTGCTGCCAAACTGTGTTCCACAAGGACATTCCCACGAGCTGTATGAAGTCTCCAATTTGTCCACATCCTTGTCAGCCCTTCTCATTGTCTGTTTTTACTTTTTTTGTTTTTTTGTTGTTGTTGTTGGTTTTTGTTTTTTGTTTTTGTTTTTTTGCTTCTGGTTGGTGTGAAGTACCTTTTTCATTGTGGTTTTGATTTGTGTTTCCCCAATGACATTCTTAGAATACTCACTTGACAAGAAAAGAAACTGAGACCAGAGAGGTTAACGAAGTTGCCCAAATCACACGGGTAGGGAAGGATAGAGTCGAGATTCAGAGTTTTAACTGTTTAACTGTAGAGCCTACATCCTGTTGCTTCCTTTGATGTTGTTGGTGGTGGTGTGGTAATTTAGCATCTTTTGTGCTGAACTTGGGGGTAAATAGAGTAGAGTTTCAGTTTTAGATGCAAGCACTTAGTCATAGTACATTAAAATAAACTGTTTCTTAAAAGCTTTGGTTGGAAGTGAAAAGAAGTTAGTAGGTCGTGGATCTTGTACATCTAACATTGTCTTCTGAATAACATGGATACTGAGGACGGTGTAGATTGTCTTTTGGTGGTTAGTAGCCCTCCCAAAGCTCCCCACTCTTGACTAGCTCCTCACAGAGAT